TTGGGGCCTCTTGGGGGTCTCTTGGGAGCCTTTTCCGGGGCATCCTGGGGGCCTCTTGGGGCTTCATGGCCACCTCTTGGGGCCCTCTTGGAGCACCCTTGGGAGCCTTGGGGGCCATCTGTGGGCCATCTTGGGTGAGATCGATCACAGGAAGGGGGGGGTACTAATTAGAGTCCCCCCCTGAGGAGGCCAAAATGGGGCCAAAATCATAGTAAAACCAATGATTTTGGCTTCCTCGAAGCCGTTTTGGACGCTCCGACGACTCGCGAACCCCGTGTCCCGGTCCAGGGGAGGGGGTAGGGGGAGGGGTCAAGCTACCCCCTCCCCGCCCGCAAGCCGTCTCGCTCACTCCCACCCGCCCTCCCAACACAGACGTAGCACCCGGGTCTGGCCCGAGCCTCAGCATATACAGCAGTCGTCTTTGGATGGGCAGCTACTGGGGGCCAATCCGCCGCCGCCGCCCCCCGCCGCCGCCCGCCGCCGCCGCCCCCGCCGCGCCGCCGCCGCCGCCGCCGCCGCCCCCCGCTGCCTAACCGCCGCCGCAGCCGCAGCCGCTGCCGCCACCGCCGCTGCCGCCGCCGCAGCCGCCGCCGCCGCCGCCGCCCCGCCCCCGCCGCCGCCGCCGCCGCGCAGCCGCCGCAGCCGCAGCCGCCGCCGCCGCAGCCGCCGCAGCCGCCGCCGCCGCCGCCGCAGCCGCCGCAGCCGCCGCCGCCGCCAAGTGCACTCTGTTTACCTAACAGCTTTTGCTGATAGGTTTCTAGTGGTCTCAAAAGAGAGCAGCAGATGACTCCACAGGGAGGTCGGGGCGGGACCCGGAACGGCTGCCGCCGCGGCTGCCGCCGAAGCCCAAATCGCTTGGGACATCCTCGCGAAATCGCTCTTGGCGCTCCCAGAACTCCATTCCCGGGCCACATTTTGGATGCCTGGAGCCAACTGTAGGCCACTTCGTGTTCTTCGACTTCCCAGAACTCCTCTTCGATTTCCCAGAACTCCATTCCCGGGCCACATTTTGGATGCCCGGAGCCAACTGTAGGCCACTTCGTGCTCTTCAAGTTCCCAGAACTCCATTCCTGGGCATGATTTTGAATGCCCGGAGCCAACTGTAGGCCACTTCGTGTTCTTCTAGTTCCCAGAACTCCATTCCTGGGCCACATTTTGAATGCTGAGGCAGGCTGATGCTGCGGCCGAGGCAGGCTGAGGCTGAGGCAGGCTGAGGCTGAGGCCGAGGCTGAAGGCAGACTGAGGCTGAGGCTGAAGCAGACTGAGGCTGAGGCTGAGGCAGGCTGAGGCTGAGGCTGAAGCAGGCTGATGCTGAGGCAGGCTGAGGCTGAGGCTGAGGCTGATGCAGGCTGAGGCTGAGGCAGGCTGAGGCTGAGGCCGAGGCTGAAGGCAGACTGAGGCTGAGGCTGAAGCAGGCTGAGGCTGAGGCTGAGGCAGGCTGAGGCTGAGGCAGGCTGAGGCTGAGGCTGAGGCAGGCTGAGGCTGAGGCTGTGACTGCGACTGCCGTTGCCGCTGCGACTGTCATCGCGAATGCGACTACGACTGCGAGAACAGCAGAATTCGACAACTGGATTTTCATCTGAATCTTAAGGGGAATGCTTTCAGATATGCTTCTACACATCGCTGTTGGGTTGCTTTGCCGGGATAAGTTTTACCTAACAGCTTTTGCTGATAGGTTTCTAGTGGTCTCAAAAGAGAGCATCATGACTCCTCAGGGGGGTCTGGGCGGGACCCGGACAGGCTGCCGCCGCGGCTGCCGCCGAAGCCGAAATCGCTTGGGACATCCTCGCAAAATCGCTCTTAGTGCTCCCAGAACTCCACATTCCCGGGCCACATTTTGGATGCCTGGAGCCAACTGTAGGCCACTTCGTGTTCTTCGACTTCCCAGAACTCCTCTTCGATTTCCCAGAACTCCATTCCCGGGCCACATTTTGGATGCCCGGAGCCAATTGTAGGCCACTTCGTGCTCTTCAAGTTCCCAGAACTCCATTCCTGGGCATGATTTTGAATGCCCGGAGCCAACTGTAGGCCACTTCGTGTTCTTCTAGTTCCCAGAACTCCATTCCTGGGCCACATTTTGAACGCTGAGGCAGGCTGATGCTGCGGCCGAGGCAGGCTGAGGCTGAGGCAGGCTGAGGCTGAGGCCGAGGCTGAAGGCAGACTGAGGCTGAGGCTGAAGCAGACTGAGGCTGAGGCTGAGGCAGGCTGAGGCTGAGGCTGAGCAGGCTGATGCTGAGGCAGGCTGAGGCTGAGGCTGAGGCTGATGCAGGCTGAGGCTGAGGCAGGCTGAGGCTGAGGCCGAGGCTGAAGGCAGACTGAGGCTGAGGCTGAAGCAGGCTGAGGCTGAGGCTGAGGCAGGCTGAGGCTGAGGCAGGCTGAGGCTGAGGCTGAGGCAGGCTGAGGCTGAGGCTTTGACTGCGACTGCCGTTGCCGCTGCGACTGTCATCGCGAATGCGACTACGACTGCGAGAACTGCAGAATTCTACAACTGGATTTTCATCTGAATCTTAAGGGGAATGCTTTCAGATATGCTTCTACACATCGCTGTTAGGTTGCTTTGCCGGGATAATTTGACAGGGATGGTGGGGCAGGGCCGCATCGGGTTGGCTGCGCATGTTCCGAATTTGGAGGCAAAGTGTGTTTTGTATTGTTTTTGTACAAGGGATGGTGGGGGGGGTGTCGGCATGGACTCGGGTTGGCCCCCAGTCGCCTGGGGGAGGGGGTGTTTATTCATAGGGAACAGTGATCAAGACCCCCTCCCCGCCCGCAAGCCGTCTCGCTCACTCCCACCCGCCCTCCCAACACATACGTAGCACCCGAGTCTGGCCCGAGCCTCAGCATATTCAGCAGTCGTCTTGGGACGGGGGGAGCTACTGGGGGCCAATCCGCCGCCGCCGCCGCGCTGCCCGCCGCCGCCGCCGCCGCCGCCGCCGCCGCCGCTGCCCGCCGCCGCCGCCGCCGCTGCCGCCGCCGCCCCCCGCTGCCAAACCGCAGCCGCTGCCGCCACCGCCACCGCCGCCGCCGCCGCCCCCAAGAGGCCCCCAAGAGGCGCCCAGAGGGACCCCCCGAGCGCGCGAAGAGGCCACAGGACTGGCCAAGAGAGTCCCAAGAAGGTCCAAGATAACGCCAAGACAGCCCAAGAGAGCCCCCTCAGACCCTCGAGAGACGCCTGGACAGTCCAAGAGGGTCACAGAAGCCTCCAAGAGGCTCCCAAAATGCTCCCCACGGGCCCCAATCAGGCCCCCAGAGCCCCACGACAGTCCAAGATAACGCCAAGACAGTCCAAGATAACGCCAAGACGTCGACGTCGTGTTCGAATCGCTCTTGGAGTGTTTTCCAACGGCCCAAGGGAGGCCCAAAAGACGCCCCGGAGAGCCCCAGGAGCGCCCAAGAGCGCCCCAAGAAGACCCCAAGAGACCCCCAAGAGCGCTCTAGGAGCCACCCACACAGCTCACAAGAACCCCAAGACGGCCCAAGAAGGGCCAAGAAGGCCCCAAGAGACTCCCGGGAGCGCCCCAGGAGGCCCCCAGCGCCGAGACGGCCTAAGAAAGCTCCCACAGAACCCCACGACGCGCCCAGACAGCCCAAGAAGACCCCAGAAGCCCAGAAGAGGACCCAAGGGGCCCCCAAGAAGCCCCCAACAGGCCCCAAGAGAACCCCGCGCGGCGCCAGGAGCAACGTCTTTCTCCAATTGCCTCGTACTGTCCTCTGTCGTCGTCGTCGTCGTCGTCGTCGTCGTCGTCGTCATCATCGCCCTCCGCGTTCCTCCTCGTACTCGCCCTCGTTCTCTTCGTCCTCGTCCTTGTGCTTCTCTTCCTCCTCGTTGTCCTCATGCTCCTCCTCGCTATCCTCACGTTCGCCACGTCGTCCTCGTCATCGACTCCTCGTTGCCCTCGCCTTCCTTTTCTTCTTCGCCCATTACGCCCATTAGACTAAAGCGGCGCTTCCCGTTTTTGTCCGATCAGGTTTTGTTTCTTGCCATGCTGATTTAACGATATCGACCATGACGTTGTCCCCCTTTGCCCCCGTTCTCTCCCATAGCGCTACGCCCTTCCCCCCCGCCCCCCCACCCTACGCCCGTGCTCCTCCCAATCAACGATCTGAGTTGATCCGCGCGCGTTGTATTCGCCAGTTTCCGTGGCCACCACGGGCCAGATTCGTCTCAAGTTCTCTATAGTTCCTCTTCGTGTGGCGCGGGTGGACCCACAGTGGTGCCCACGGGTCCGAGGTGTACACAAGCTTCTGGTGTGCATACGTGCCTGAATTGTTCGCGGCTTTCGCAGGCATGCCGTCGCCGCAGGCCTGTGGTGGCATGCGGCGCACACGGTTGTGTGCACGGGCCTGCGTGTGCGGTGTGCGCGAGTGCGCCCGCCCATGGCGTACATTGACCCAGGTTTGCGCATACACAGGCGCGTGGCATACACGACGTGCGTTGACCTCTACACAAGCGCGCGGCGTACCCGATAGTTGCGATGCACGCGGGCCTGCGCTTTGCGGTGCATATTGGGGCACAAAAAAAGGCACACGGGCCTATGCGTGTACGTGGGCAGTGCGTGTGTTGGTTTGGTGTGGACAAGTTGATGCTCGTGGTATGCACAGGCGCACGCCCGTAGCGTATGAGCCTTCGGGTGTATGTGTGTGTGTGTGCGCAGGCACGGGCACGCCGCGTACACAAAATGTTGGTCTCTTTGTGGTGTACACAGGCCTTGCGGCGCACACAGACTTGGCAGTTTGGCCTGCTGCGCACATGCTGTTAAGTCTCATGAATCTCGCGATTGCCGACGGCCTGTGAGCACCGCAAACCGCGGGCAGCTCAAAGAATCCGCCTCCCCGTCGTTTCGCTGCGTTCGCTGCGCGTGGAGGCTGCGTCGCGTTACCCCCCTTCCCTTGTCCTCAACAAGAAGCAATTGTGTTTTACCGCGCACACACAGAGCGCCTTCCCTCTGACGTCCTACCCCTCCCGCCAGTCCCCTCCCTGTGCACCTACCGACTCAATTTCACAAGCTCAGCAGTGAGCCGCCCAAGCCCTGTGAGCAGCGGGGGCCCGCTCCGAGCGCGGATCCGTCCCGAGCAGCACCGACGATGATGAGGGCCAAGAGGGAGGCGCCGCCGCTGGCAGGGGAGGACCTGGTCGTGCCGGACGAGCCCCACGTGGACGAGCGGCCCGCGGGGCACCACCTTAGGGGCCGGGAGGGGGCCGTGATGAGCAAGCTCCACGCGCACGGGCGAATGCTCGAAGAGATCCTGCGGCGGCTGCCGCCCGCGCCGGGCGGAGAGGAAGGCCCCCGCGCGCATGCGGGCCTGCGACTGGCGCCGCCGAGCCCTCCGCCCGTGGGGGGCCCGAGGGGCGCCACGGGCGAGGAGGAGCGGGCGGAGCCGAGGCCCTGGTTGCGCTCAAGCCAAAGGGGGGCGAGCTGGGACAGGGGCGGTTGGCCTTCGGGGGTGGCCCTCGTCGCCACGGCTGGACGCAGCTCGGGAACTCGGTAGGTTTGGACCCCAGCAGGGGTCGGGGGACCGACTTTGAGCTGCCGTTGTCTCAACTCGCCTTGCTACGCGCAGGTAAGAGTGACCGTTCGCCGGAGTGACCTTCAGCGCGGGCCCACAGGGGTCGCCCCAACGTCGGCCTGCGCGCTCGGATCGGACCACCCCCCGGGAGCCGCGCACCGGGGGTCACTCTTGCCTGTGGCCTTTCATGGCGTGCGGCCGAAGGTCAGTGGGCAGCATGGGCAGCGAGGAGCAGCGGAAGGGCGGCCCAGAGGGCCAGGGCAGCTGCGAGTCCGAGGTCGTCATCAGGAGAGACACGCTGAGCAGCGCGGGCAGCGACGGCTACGTGTCTGGTGCCGCGACCGGCGTGAGGAGGAGGGATTCGAGGAGCAGTATCGAACGGGCGGCGGCGACTTGCAAGTCGGCGGCCGCCTCTGCAGTCACGCCCAGGAATCCCAATCCAGTAGACTTCTTCCACGAGGAGGGAGAAGATGTGCGCGAAGGAGGCGGCATGCCTACGTACAGGTTTAGGGCGACCATCCGACAGATTATTCTTATGCCGATATTCGAATGTGTATTCGCATGTTTGATCATCGTGAACACCATAATAATGGTGATCGAGGAGCAGTACCACGGGGCTCGAGTAGGGTACGATATCGGTTTCTACACTTTCTACGGTTCCGACATTTGGGCAGATAGCACCCGCAACGAGGCCGTGTTCGACATCCTTGAGATTATATTCGCTGTTATATTCACCGTGGAGGTGGCTCTGAGGATTGTAGCGATGGGCTTTCAGTATTTCAGGAGACCCTCTGAGTATTTCGACTTGGCAGTCGTGATATTGTCAGACCTCAGCATTGTATTGAATTCATCCAGCACGCTCGATAACATTGAGCTGCTGCGATTACTGCGGGCTGTAAAGTTGTTGCGGCTTTTGAAGCTCGTCCGAACGATTGAGGGTTTCGACGCCCTCCACCTGATGACGACGGCGCTTGAATCTTCTGCATGGGCATTGTGCTGGTCCGTCCTGCTTTTGCTGAGCATACAGACCTTTGTCGCCATGATCGCCACGTACTTGTTTCGTGCACTGTACATGAAGAAGGGAAGCTTGTCCGACGAAGACCTTGAGCACCTTTTCGAGTATTGGGGGACCTTCACCCGCTCATTGTTGTCGCTCTTTGAGTTGGCACTGGCGAACTGGCCACCGATCTGCCGTTGGCTGGCAGAGAATTTACACGAAGGGTTCATAGTCGCCGCGCTGTCCTACAAGTTGGTGATGGGCATGGCCGTTGTCGGGGTGATCAACGCGGTATCGAGCTGCCTGCGGCAAGTTTCGCCACCGTGCCAGCGCAACTCACTTCGTGGCGACACCCAGAAGACCGTTACATGTAATACCTCTCGTGGCTGTTTCTTGAGTGGCTCTCATGGGGCCTACCTGGACTATGTTGGGGCTGCGGGACCCTCCTGGGCTTGCTTGGGGCACTCTTGGGCCATCTTGATGCTGTATTTGACCCGTATCGGCCGTCTGGGGTCTCGTACGGTTGTCTTGAGCCATCTGAGGTTTACCTTGGGCTGTCTTGGGCCCTTGTTGGGACGTTTGGGGACCCTCTTCGGCCTGTACTGGGCCGTCTGGGGTGCGTTGTCGGGCCCTCTTTGGACTCTTTCGGAATCTCAGTTGTCTCGAAGGCCCTCTTGGAACCACTTTGAGGTGAGAGGGCTGGGAAACGCAATAATTGGAATGTGTCAGGGTGTCGTTCGGTGTTTGCATGGTTCTGGCTTTCCTGGAGGGCTTTTTGGTTTTCTGGTGTATATTGAAAGCCTCTTGGGGCCTTCTTGTGAGCAGTTATCGAGTAGGGGATCGACTACTTGCTTCGTCGATCCTACGAGGGAAACGAATATTGCTCCGTAGATCTACGAGCATTACATGTATTCGCTCGTAGACTCAACGAGCAAATCGAATCTGGGGTGAATCAATTGTGTGGTCGATCCCCTACTCCAAGCTAGAAGACTCGGGACAATGCTGGGCCATCTCGGCGGCCCTGATGCGGACTTCCTGTCGGTGGCCACGTGCGAACCCTACCCCACCGCGCCACGATGTCTCATGGGGGAGGTGGGCTTCACTTCGTTCGGGAGGTCCCGGACTAGGTGAACCCCAAGGCCCCCCCTTCGAAATCCCAGGGTGGCGGGGCAGGATTCGCACGAGGCCTCCCAGTGTTGGGCCGTCTTGGAGGCCTCCTGGCATCTGGGGGATGCCCCACATGGGGGGGCGCCTTGGCCGCCCAGGAGGGAGCCTCGGGCATGGCCACGGCGAGGCACGACGAGAGAGCGCTACACCGGGAGAGCACGGGGGGGGGGGCTCCGAAGGCCTGGAGCTAGACCGAGGCATGAGGCCGAGGTTACAGGTGTCCTGGCCCGACCTGCACGCGCAGCCGGACCGAGGCAGAAGCTCGAGGCTTTCGGGCGTCGTCGTCGGTCGTCGGCGGCTTTCCAGCCTTGGAATGCGCTCCAGCAGCTGCGCCTCGCCGAGGGCGTTCCCAGGGTGCCTGGGTCATCCCGAACGGCCACTGGAGAGCCGAGTTATGACCGAAAAAGCACCAGGCGTTCGTGGGACGAGGTACAAGATCGAGGTCGCCTCGGGGAGGGTATCCTCGTGTTCGTCGTACTTGCTGGACGTTCTTGTGCAGCGTGGGGAGGACATCCTTGGCTGTTCTGTGTGTTTTGGCTGGCGGAGGGTCTCGTGTTCTTGGGGTATGTTCTTTTGGCTTAGGTCCAACTGACTAAGGGTTACAGAACCCTTGCCAGACAGCTCATTCTGCCACACCTGAACGTGGCAGGAGGCACGGTGGCGGGTTCATGCAGGAGACGTTCAAGATTGCCAGCACCGATGACGCGACCATGATGAGGATGACGGATAGGATCACTCGTCAGCGCAATCACAAGGTAGAGGCCCTCTTCGCCATGGCGGATGTGGATGGCACTGGCCAAATTGATAGAAGCGAGTTCCGGAAGATCCTGGAGAACAAAAACGTCAAAACGTGGCTCGCTTCCATGGATTTCGTCGCCAACGACGCAGACGTTGTCTTCGACCTGTTGAGTGGTGGTGACGACTTAATCGACCTAAACGAGTTGGTTCGTGGGATCAACGATCTGAGGGGCGCAGCGCGGTCTATTGACATGCGCAGGCTGATACAAGTGTTGCAAACATGAACAACCATGTCCGCGCACGCGGGAACATCTGATCGCCATCGCGCGGCGGCGGCATTGGCCGAGGACACTGCCTTCGACTCCAGAAGCATTTTATAAAAAATGCGCTTCCGCCCGTGCTTTTGTCCGAGTCGCCGGCCCAGGCGTTCTCGACCGTTTTCCCCCCAAGGGCTTTTCACCCGCAACGGTTTTGTTTACGGTCAGGGGGCTCGAAACGAGCACGCACCCAAGCCGAAGAAACACACCGTCCCGCCCTCGTTCTCTTTGTCCACGTTCATCCTCTTGAGCGTCTTTCTCATCATTTCTCAGCTGAGGTGCGAGCTTAAATAAGCGACCGCAGCTGCTGTCAGAAGTTGTGAGCACGACAGCACGGCAGGGAAAACGGAGTGCAACGGTGTGCACACAGTTGAATACTGTCGTGTTTTGTTTGTTAGTGGTCTGATTGAATTGCACGTGCGTGGAGATGATCTTCGAGTTGTCTTAACAGTGTGGCTTGAACGCAAAGCACTTGCATGACTTCATCGGTCGCTCTGGCCATCGATGTCCGTGGCTTTGCGTTCACATGAAGTTGTTGCGGCCACGGCCGCAGGGCCAAGCCTCATCCACACTTTCATCGTCACCGGCTCGTCGATTATGTGCGACAAAGATTCGCGATGGATCATTGCGAGGGAGTTCGAGACAGGGCAGCATCGATCGCCCAGTTGGGCCAGATGGTCAAAGCCGACGGCGAGGCAAGGATTGATCGTGAGATTAGCGTGATCCGATCTAGGGGTGACCCCAGCAAGGGCACACGATACATAGCATAGTGTCCATGTATCCCCATCAGTGGCATGGCAGCCGATCGCAGTATATTACAGTTTGTTGCAAAGCATCGCATGGGCATGTTCTTCTATATGTTAATCTAGGATCCTGCGTTCTTCTATTTGTTTATCTAGGATCCTGCGGACCCCCCACCCCGCGAAACGGGATCACCAGCGCCTGGGGCTCCTGGACGCCCCAGGGTCTCGCGAGATTTCCGGGCCTCTGGAAGTCCCTGTCGAGCCGTGCAGACGGGTCGACGGCGGTCCCAAGAGACCCCCAAGACGGCGGTCCAAGATGGCGCCCGAAGATGGCCCAAGCATCACCCCTAACAGGCTTTCGAAGCGCAATAATGGATGAAGTTCCGCTGGTTTTTGTATGATTTTGGGCTACTCGGTTATTTAATCGCTTCGCTCATTCCGCTGGCCCTGGAGCGCTATTTGGGGCCTCTTGGGGCCGTCTTGGGGGCCTCTTGGGGGCTTCTTGGGAGCGTCTTGGGGCTCCTTGGCGGCGTCTTGGGCTCCCCTGGGGCCTCTTAGGGGGCTCTTGGGGGCCCCTTGGGGCGGGAGGGGGGTAGTCGATTGCAGCCACCCCCTCGGAGGCCGCGATCCTTGTGAGGGGTGGCGAAAAAAAGCCTCCCCCCTGGGGATCGCCCGGGACCCGGCCGGGGGTCCGCCGGGGTACTTTTCGTCCGGGGGCCCCCAGGGGCCGCCCCGCGCGCGCGAACTAGAAATATTGTTAAGTAGTTTGCGGAGATCTTAGCATGCCTCTGGCCCGCTGGGCCGGCGAATTCGGTCTTCCGGGCGTCCGAGAACGCCCGAGAGGCGCCGAAAGCCGCTCCAAGACGGCCCCAAAAAGGCCTCCTGGCACTCCAAGAGAGTCCGAAGACTGCCCCAAGAGTCACCACCCACCAAACCACCCCAACCCAACCCGAAGGCTCAGATTTACCCTCGATTTCTAGTGGGGGGAGGTCCGGGAACATCGGAAAAACACATATGGAGCCCATATCCCCCCCAACCCGAAATTCGGGTCTTCGGGTTGGGTTGGGGTGGTCTGGTAGGTAGTCAAAGAGGGCTCAGAAATTGCCACAAGACGCCCTCGGGAAGCATTCAAACTGTCACCCGAGACCCGAGGAGCCCATCGGGAACCCCGAGGAGCTCCCCAGAGGAACCCAAGGAGCCCCTAAAAAGCGTTCGCCAACCCCCCCGAGGAACCCAAGGAGCCCCAGAGGAACCCCGAAGAACCCCCCAGAGGAACCCCCCAGAGGCCGCCCCCAGAGGCCGCCCAAAGGCGCCAGGGACGTCACCAGACGCACCCAAGGGAGTCCCGAAAAAGCTTTCGCGAGGTCCTCCAGAAGCTCGCCTCGGAGGAGACTCCGCAAGCAAATCTGAGGAGGACGGGAAGGGTTCGCAGGACAATTGAGGCGAAAGCGAGGAAGGGGAAGAGGAAGAGAGCACAATATGGGAAGGAGAAGGAACAACAACATGATAACGGTGATGGCAAACATTGTAACCAACAGCGATCTCTGTTTTGATTGATCATGTCTCTCTCTCTGCCTGTATCTTAGACGCGGGTGCATGGCGCGAAGCGTCAAGGCTGTCTTATGTATGTGCCATATATAAGCAGATACAGCAGAGAACAGCATTCGCATAGAGTAGTAGCAGCAACAGCAGATATCATGGCAGAGCATTGCATACGAGAGCGCCGCACAGCATAGCATGCGATGGCATTGCATAGCAACTCATAGTATGGCATGTTTTAACACAAGGCCCTAAGGGGCCCTGAGGGGAGAGCCTCGAAAGGAGCCCTAGGAACCCAGGGTGCCCAGAGTTCCATGGAGGTGATCACCGCTCCGTTCACTTTTGGAGGGAACACAGGAGGCGGAAGAGGAGGGGGGGGGGAAGAGGCCGTCCTTTGTCCTCCTCCTCCTCCTCCTAGGACTGGGACCTCCTCCTCAAAAGATTCCACACATGGACCAGCGGAACAGATGCCTTTCCAGCAAACACCTATCAATGATCCTCCTCCTCTTCCTCTTCCTCATCCTCATCCGCATCCTCTTCTTCCCCCGTGTAGGAGGAGGAAAGGAGGGCGATCAATTGACGATCAATTCCTCCTCTTCATCCTCCTCCTCATCACCATCATCCTCATCATCATCAACATCAACATCATCATCATCATCATCATCAGCAGCATCATCATCAGCAGCATCGTCATCAGCAGCAGCATCCTCATCCTCATCCTCCTCCTCCCGAGCTCTGGGGAACCCAGGCTCCCAAGACGGCTCCAAGAGATCCCGACGATGGCCTGGAAAGCCAACAGTGGGTCCCAAGCGGCCTTGAGTGGCCACAAGAGTGTCGCAAGCGGGCCACACTGCCCCAGGCGGCACCAAGAGACGCCAAGCTAGCTCAAGACTCTCCGACGGAGCCTTTCGGTGGGGACGAGGGAGCCGAGAAATTGTGGCTTCTCAGAATTGTTCGTTGGCCTCCCGTGTTGTTCCGTCGGGGAGCTCGCAGCCACTGGCTGGATTGTTCAACGTATGTGGCTTGAGTGCCTGGCTGGCTACTTGGCTAGCTATTTGGTTGGCTCGATTTCGTGTGGGCTGGCTGGCTGGTTGGGTTTTGGGCGAGGCTGGGTGCCCCGCGGCGAACTATGACGAGGACATGGTTCGTCGAAGTTTGGTATTGCATTGTTCCTCATCCCTCCTCCTCCACTCTGCGTCGGCTTTGGGCGCACTGGGTATTCGAGGTCTGTTGCTGGATGGCTCCCCCCCGGCAGGGGAACACGGCGCCAGGAGTTCATGTTGTTTTTCTTTCTCCTCTTCCTCCTCCTCCTCCGCCTCCACCTCCTCCTGCCCCTCCTCCCCCTCCTCCTCCTCCTCCTCCTCATCATCATCCTCCTCATCCTCCATTCCTTTTCCTTATACATATCTCCTCCCTGTCGCACCCCGAGGCCAGTCGAAAGGGCGGGCTGGGCGGTTCGCTTGAGATGTGCCCACATGTGTGGCCCTGAAGCTTCAAACATGGCAACAGTTTCACGAATCAAGAGCGGGTGGTTTTCAAAATGTGGGTCTCGCTTCAGCGCCGCGCACATTCGTTTTACAACTTTGCAAGGGCTTCACGGATTGAGGACGGATCGGTTTCAAAATGTGGTTCTCGCCTTAGCGCCGCGCACATTCGCTTGTAGAAAGATGCAGGAGTTTCACGGATTGAGGCCGGCTCCTGTTCAAAATGTGATTCTCGATTCAGCGCCGCGCACATTCGTTTTACAAAAAATATCTTGGCGAATGACTCAATCATATGCAGTTGTGAGTAGCGTCGTTTCGGCGATCACCGTCGGGGGATCTCCTCAAGGGCAATGAAGCATGCGAAGGGTGTGCCGATTTGGGTCGGGGCCGCCATCTGGGCGCTGCCAATGGTGCTTTAGGCGGAACGCACTACGGGGCCACGAAAAGTGTGAGAGGTGCGCCGCAATGGGGCAGGGTCGCCATTGGGGCCTTTCGTGGAGTTCCCTGTGGGGCCATGAAGCGCTGTACTGGGTGGGGGAAACGCATGCGAGTTCTGCCACTGGGACCTTCGGTGGAGCTCCCTACGGGGCCACGAAACGTTGCACTGGGCGCGGGAACCGCATGCGAGTTCCGCCATTGGGACCTTTGGTGAAGCTCCCTATGGGGCCACGAAACGCTGTATTGGGCGCAGGAGCTGCATGCGAGTTCCACCACTGGGACCTTCGGTGGAGCTCCCTATGGGGCCACGAAGCGCTGTATTGGGTGAGGGTGACGCATGCGGGCGGTGGTGCCACTGTGGCCTTCGGTGGACTTCCCGATGGGGCCACGAAACGTTGTAGTGGGCGCAGACACCGCATGTGAGTTCCGCCACTGGAACCTTCGGTGGAGTTCCCTATGAGGCGACGAAACGTTGTATGGGGCGCAGGAACCGCATGCGAGTTCCGCCACTGGAACCTTCGGTGGAGCTCCCTATGGGGCCACGAAACGTTGCACTGGGCGCAGGAACCGAATTCGAGTTCCCCCACTGCGAGCTTCTTCGGTGGCGCTCCCTATGGGGCCACGAAACGTTGCACTGGGTGCAGGAACCGCACGCGAGTTCTGCCATTGGGGCCTTCGGTGGAGCTCCCTATGGGGCCACCAAACACCGCACTGGGCGCAGGAACCGCATGCGAGTTCCACCACTGGGACCTTTGGTCGAGCTCCCTATGGGGCCACGAAGCGTTGTACTGGGTGGAAGAGACGCATGCGAACTGCGGAGGAGGGAAGAGGGAGGAGGAGGAAGGAGGAGGAGGAGGAGGAGGAGGAGACGCGCGGCGCTGTCTTTTCAAAACGAGGACCCAACACCACAGGATGGCTGGGAATTACAAGCGTTTCGCGAATTCCCATGTTCAGCGTACCAGAAATGGTATTTGGGAAGGATTCAAGATTGTGAGGGTGCAACAGTTACGTTGAGTCGCGATGTCGAAGTCCCAGGAATGGCGTTCTGGCACGATTCAAAACCGTCAAGACGCAACAGTCAGGTTTTTCCGTGGCGTTGGAGTTCCGAGAATGGTGTTTTGGCATGCTTCAGGGTCTCCAAACGGTTGTGTCCCAACGAGGCAGTTCCCTCAGTGGAAATGAACCTTTTGTAGGGGCCTGTGAAGAGGGAGCTTGGAGGGAGGGTTTATGCCAACATCGTTGATGAGTCTTGGGTTTGCACCAGTCCTCCTCCTCCTCCTCCTCCTCCTCCTCCTCCTCCTCCTCCTCCTCCTCCTCCTCCTTCTGTGTGCCGCTCCTGGAGACCATCTTGGGTGGCGGAGGCAACAATGGCATGGTGAGACTGCTCAGGCGTAGGTACCAGCAGGCCGGCCTCAGCCACATCATCAGGGACCTCTGCGAGCGAGCATGGAGACATGCAGAACCACGACGCCGAGGCTTTCTCCAAGGTCTTACGCGAGAGGAGCCGACGAGGAGGCACGAATTGGAAATGATGCATTGGAGGGAGCTTGCTAACCTGCGGAGGTTTATGCGAGAAGTTATAGGCGAACGAGCACCAGAAGGAGCAGCGCGAAGACAACTACATGATGCTCCAGGAACAGGCAGTGGCCCGAGTAGCCGCCGAGAGCTGCAGGTCCGCACCCACAGCGGCCACCAGACGCAGCAGCAGATCAACACAAGACGGCAGCTCGCGCAGCAGCTCAACCAGCCTGACCCAGGCAGGCTGAACGAAGAAGGTGCAGCCAAGGACCAGCAGCAGGCCCTCCTCACAGACCTGCACGCGATAGCAGAGGGCGCCCTCGTGGACCCAGGGACGATCAGCAGGGTAGCAGAGGAGGTAAAGAGCATGGCCAAGCTACTCACAAAGGCGGTGAAGAAGGCGTACATCCACTGGGTGCACGACGCCACGGCAGGCAGTACGAAGATGGCCCACGCCTGCACCAAGGCAGCGGAGCGCAGCCACCTGGAGGACATCCTTGAGGACGAGGGCCAGGTCATCAACCACCCGCAGCAGCTGGTGGACCTGCGCAAAGAAGCATGGCAACGCAGGTGGACACGAGATGCACAGAAGGCCGAGAGGATCCAAGAGGCGCTGGCCAAGCTGAGGCAGGCTGCCTTGGCCCAAGAGAATGCCCTCGAGCCCATCAGCAAGGACATCATAGGCTCCATCATCCAGCACCTGAAGCGCAATGCTGGCCAAGGAGCGGACAGGTGGAGGGCTCCAGAGCTCAAGGCCATGGGCGCCCAGGGGCTGGAAGACTTCGCGCAGTGCCTGACCAGCTGTGAGCAACGGGCAGCGTGGCCGTGGCAATTCTACTTGGTGCTGGAGCTGCTGCTGGGTAAGAAGCCAGGAATCGGCGGAGAGCGCCCCATCGGCCTCATGCCCATGCCGTACCGCATCTGGAGCGCAGCCAGGAGGCCCATAGTAGCCACCTGGAGCAAGGCAGCGGCGGGCTTCTGGGACACGGCAGTAGCTGGCTCCTCAGCGCTACGAGTGGCAATGCACAGACTGATGAGGGCAGAAGCCGCCACGGAGATGGGCTTTCATGCAGCAGGAGTGTTCTACGACGCGGCAAACTTCTACGACAACATAGGCCTCGACCAGCTGATTGAGAAGGCCAGCGCCCTCCAGTACCCGTTGCTGCCGCTGGCAATGGCCGTGCAGATGTACCTTGCGCCCAGGGCCATCATGGCCCACAGCCTCTTCTCGGACATCTTCGAGCCTGCCAACAGCATGGTAGCTGGCTGTGGCCAAGCGGTAGACCTCACCAGACCGCTCTTGTATGGCATCCTGGATGCAGCGCACAGGCACCACATCTTCGTCGCCACGCAGCAGTACCTGGACGACTTGGCCCTGCAGGTAGAGGGTGCGCGGCGGCAGGTCATTGACCAGATCAAGCACGTGGCAGCGCTGGTGCACGATGGATTCAAGCAGCTCTCGATACCCATCTCTGTCAAGACGGCAGTGGTGGCCTCGGACAAGGACCTCCAGGCAGAAGTCGCCAGCATCCTGGACAGCCTGGGCACCCCCAACAAGCAACCAGGTGTAGTGCGCGACCTCGGCGTGGACACCAGCCTTGGCAAGCAGCTGCGGCGACCCACCCATGCCGCGCGCCAGGCCAAGGCCAAGCAGAGGGTGGCCAAGCTCAAGGACCTAGCGAAGACGGACGCCGGAGGCGCGGCAAAGGTCTATTCAGCAGGTGCCTATTGCCAGCAGGCCTGGGACTTACCAGCGCACGGCATCACGCCCACGGAGGCGAAGTCGGTCAGGGCTACGGAGGCAGCGCTCCTCACAGGCGGACACAAGGCTGGACGCTGCACGTCCACCATCCTCCTGATCCAGAGGGGAATGCAAGAGGCAGTAACCCGAGCCATCGGCGACCAGATCAAGCAGTTCTGGCTCACCATAGTCGACCACCCGACGGAGCTCAAGAGGTACCACAGAGGCTGGCTCCTGCTCTACGCCAAGCTGGGCGCCCTGGAACCCAACCGCAGGTGGCAGCAGGTCAAGGGGCCTATGGCACGGGTCATCGCGCAGTTGCTTGGGTTAGGCTGGATACCGCGACGCCTGGACAGCTGGATCAGCCCAGCAGGTGACGAGTGGGCCTACAAGCCAGATGACATTCCTCACTTCGGCGCGCTCCTGCATGAAGTCCAGCAGAGCGCGCAGCAGCAGCTCTGGCAGCAGGCAGCAGGCCATCGCAGTGGAGAAGGACTTCAGGCTGGAGGCGACCTCTATCAGCTGCAGCGCCACCTGAGGAGGAGGAGGCGCAAAGGACAGCATGCAGAGGCAGCCATGCTGGAGACCATAGCGGCGGCGGGCATCTGGACCAGGGAGCGTCGCAGGGCGGCCAACCTCAACCAAGAAGGCGACGACACCTGTGCGAGATGCGGCGAGGCGATAGAGACAGAGGAACACCGCTACTACGCATGCCCTGCCAACGCAGAGATAGGGCACAGCAATGACACCGACCTGGCGAAGAAGGCGAGGGACGCGCTGGACCAGCGGCAAGACCTGCACTTCTGGCTCCGAGGCATCCCGCCAGCGGCCTGGGCAGACAAGGTCGACCCAGACGAGGACGCGGCGAAGGCGGCGCAGATCTTCTGCGCCAGCGAAGAGGCTCAGGCGGCAGCCCAGTCAGGGCACAAGGTTCGAGCAGACTATGTCTTCACGGACGGCTCAGGTGGTGCAGGGGAAACGGCCAAGGACCCCCGCCTCAGACGCTGCGGCTGGGCAGTGGTGGCCTTCAGGTTCGACGAACAAGGACGTCCGCAGGAAGTGGCTGCCTGGTACGGCACGATCAGGGCACCGCACACGGTGCCACGGGCAGAACTCACCGCCATGAGCAAAGCCATCGGGTACACCACGGCGGCGACAGCCAGGGGGCTCAACATAGTCAGCGATTGCAAATACGCCCTGGACGCACTCAAGCAGATCCAGGATCCTGAGGATCTGGAGTACAGGAGCACGAACTACGACCTCTGGCTCCAGACGAAGCAGCAGCTGCAGAACAGCACGGACACCATCATGGGCCACCACATCCCAAGCCACCTGATTGAGCACCCAGCCGAACTGGAGAGGTGGAATGGTCCCACCTGGTGGGTCATAGGAAACGAGATGGCAGACAAGTACGCAGGCTGGGGAGCGGAGCATGGAGCACTGGATCCAGCCATCATCGCGCAGCAGCAGACCAGGGACCAGATCACCATGGCGGTACAAAACTGGCTGCTGGCCATCAACATGGCGGTGACGGTGGAGGGCCCCAACAAGGCCCCTCAGCGTCCCAAGGCCAAGCGCCGAAAGCCGCAGACGGCGAGGGACAGGGCAGCCCAGCTGGGACACGACGTGCGCAAGCTACATCCGCGATGGTGGTGTGCAACGTGTCGCAGTGGCCCAGCCAAAGGACAAAGCATCAGAGACTGGTTGGCAGAGACGGGAGAATGCCTCGGGAAGTACGGCGGCCACCAGGACCAGCACGGCAACGTCAGGCTCGACTTCAAGGCGGTGCAGATCGGCACGCAGGTGGTGCACGTCTCCCACAAGACGCAGTTCACCCATGGCTGGCTCTGGTGCGAAAAATGTGGCGGCACCAGCTACCTTGGGGACCACAAGAGCAGGATCGTGGCAGGAGTGGCAAGGAAGCTGGCAAGGCCATGTCAGCCCCCAACAGCAGCAGGGCGGCGGGTCTTGGAGGACATGCAGAGGGGCAAGCTGCCAAGAGGAGCTAAGCCAGCAGCAGACCCAGCTGATGAGGGTCTCGACGAGATCACCATGCCTGGAGATTTCAAGCTCGGCCTGAGTAACCACGAGGCGATCGACCTGGACGGGGACAGCTCAGAGGCAGGGGACCCGCAGCCAGCTCCACAGCAGCCACCCAGCCATCCGCACTCTGTCGCCCACGCCAGCTGGAGGCTCGTGGACCACATGGAGGGCGACGCGGAGCAGTGGATGAACATGGTCGACCAAGAGGTCTGGGACGACATGGACGACTGGATGGAGCACTGCGTACCGTACCTCCTGGCCATCACCAATGTGGGTGGCGGAACGGACGCGCAAGAGCAGACCAGGGCCGTCACCGTGCAGGAGCTCCAGCAGATCAAGGACTTCTGCGAAGAAGTCTGGCGTAACACGCACCGCACGCGACGGAGGCTCATGGCCAGGATGCTTACCCTCCCGTATGGTACAAGGCAGCAGGCAGCAAGAGTGCACATGGACGTTTTCCAGAACAGAAGGAACAACATCCTAGCGCAGCCGAGAGTGGTCACCAGAGAACCTGGACGATGATGACTCGACCCCAGACAGTGAAGCCCCAGAGCTGGAGGGTGAGCCGAGCAGCCAGGATATGGAGACCATGGCGGGACCTGATCAGAGGCACGACGCCAAAAGCCTGATGCAGACGGCTGTGCAGGTGGCAGTTACGCTGACCAAGCCAGTTGGGGCCCGACCTGATGAAGTTCGCGAGCGAAGCCGACGAGGCCGGCCTGCTCCACCCAAGGCTTCGACACAACAAAGGAGAAGCTGACCAGGACCCCGAGCAGGAGGTGGCGTGGCTCGAGAGGAACAGGCTCGAGCAGCTCATGCAGTCGCTGGCAGGCTGCTGGAGCCAGAAAGAAGGCGAACAGGGCTGGCCATCGTGGCAGGCTGCGTGCGTGCCCCATGTGCTGAGGGCGCTGCAGACTGGCGTCTACCAGAGGCTGTTCAGCAACGTGTCAGGGCCGAGCCGCCAGCGCAGCCAGCGCCGAGCGGCGGAGGAGATCTGCCGCCTGGCATGGCTCAACAGCGGAGAGGCGCGCAGGCAGATCCAGCAGCAGGACCCGAAGGAGGCAGAGCGGCGCAGAGCAACGGCTGAGCAGTTCCCGGGCGTGACTGAGCCAGTGGTGAGGAGCCGCAGCCCGCGACCGCAAGCAGCAGGGCGAGTGCCAAGCAGGGCTCCAGCCAGACAGCCGAGGAGGAACCCAGAGGCCAGGGCCACCAGCAACCCCGCCGAGCTGCGCACGGCAACGCCAACGCCCGAGCCCGAGAGGCCCAGGGGACCCAGGGTACCGCAGCCAGAGCGGCCCCTGGAGGCGGGAAGGGCGGAGGAGCAGCAGAAACCCTCTAGCAGGCCCCTGTGCGGAGAGGGGACAGGCCACCATGGACCCCTGCGCGGCGAGGGGTTAGGCCGCAGAGGACCCCAGCGTGGCGAGGGGTTAGGCCACAGCCCTGCGCCAGACGGGATGCAGAGGGGTGCCCGTCCCCCACCAGCAGGACGTAGCACCATGGACATGGCAGACCTCGACCACTTCCCTGAAGAGGAGAACAGCGAGGATTGCCCCCAGCAGCCCGTAGACAAGCAGGACAGCGATGACAACCACCAGCAGATCCCAGATGTACAGCACAGCATAGGGTACCACCTGGCAGACCGCAGAGGACCCCAGCGTGGCGAGGGGTTAGGCCACGGAGGACCCCAGCGCGGTGAGGGGTTAGACCGCAGTACCAAAGGCAAGCAGAGGCTCGAGGCGGAGGTCCCTGACGAGCCCAGTGAGCATGACGCGGACGTCTTGACCAACAGTGTGGTAGACAGGACCTCGCAACTAACAGAGCGGACCCATACCCTGGGAAACCGACAGACTGAACGCGAGGGGGAGGGCTTGGCCCGCGGATACCACGTGAACCGCGAACACAGCGAGTGGCATAGTCGGGGGACCTCGCCTGAGCCAGTGGGCAGTAGCACCGAGGATGGGGACAGTGCGAGACTCGGCGCTCCCCCGCGCGGCGAGGGGTTAGGCCACAAAACAGCGCAGCCCGAGACGACGGCAGATTACGACGACACAGACCTGCAGCGGGACTTGGAGAAGATGTTCGGCGACTTTCCCCAGCGCGGTGAGGGGTTAGACCGCATGGAACCCCTGCGCGGCGAGGGGCTAGGCCACGGCAATCCCCTGCGCGGTGAGGGGGTAGACCGCAGGGCCAAAGGCAAGCAGAGGCTTGAGGCGGAGGCCCCTGACGAGCCCAGTGAGCACGACGCGGACCTTTTGACCAACAGTGTGGTAGACAGGACCTCGCAACTAACAGAGCGGACCCATACCCTGGGAAACCGACAGACTGAACGCGAGGGGGAGGGCTCGGCCCGCGGATACCACGTGAACCGCGAACACAGCGAGTGGCATAGTCGGGGGACCTCGCCCGAGCCAGTGGGCAGCAGCACCGAGGACGGAGACAGTGCGAGACTCGGCGTACCCCCGCGCGGTGAGGGGTTAGACCGCAGCAGGCCCCAGCGCGGCGAGGGGTTAGGCCACGGAGTACCCCAGCGCGGCGAGGGGTTAGACCGCAGCAGGCCCCAGCGCGGCGAGGGGTTAGGCCACGGCGGACCCCATAGTGGTGAGGGGTCAGACCGCAGCAGGCCCCTGCGCGGCGAGGGGTTAGGCCACATGGGACCCCAGCGCGGTGAGGGGTTAGACCGCAATAGGCCCCTGCGTGGCGAGGGGTTAGGCCACGGAGCACCCCAGCGCGGTGAGGGGCTAGACCGCAGCAGCCCCCAGCGCGGCGAGGGGTTAGGCCACGATTTTCCCCAGCGCGGTGAGGGGTTAGACCGCGCCGACCCCCAGTGTGGCGAGGGGTCAGGCCACGACGGACCCCAGCGCGGTGAGGGGTTAGACCGCAACAGACCCCTGCGCGGCGAGGGGTTAGGCCACCACGGAGCACCCCAGCGCGGCGAGGGGCCAGACTGCAGCAGGCCCCAGCGTGGCGAGGGGTTAGGCCACGGAGGACCCCTGCGCGGCGAGGGGTTAGACCGCAATGCACCCCAGCGTGGCGAGGGGTTAGGGGTTAGGCCACAGCCCTGCGCCAGGCAAGGCGGCCGTGAAGGCCCACGAGTCCAGGGGCCAGCGGCCAGGGCGGTCCCTGGAAGAGCGCAGAGCGGAGGAGCGGCTGCGGCCGTCCATCAGGCTGCTCCTCAAGCTCTGAGAGGGCGGCGGCAGCATTTCTTCAGACTGCCGCTGTTCACGGGGCGACTCCATGAGTCATTGAGTGGCGGCAGTACGACGCCGTGAGATGAGGCCGCTGGCCCACCCCGCCTCGGGCCGTTCTGCCTGCGCGGGGTGCCGAGACCAGGGGCACCCACTCACGGGCGGGAGCACGCGGGTTTAAAACTCCTCCTCCTCTTCCCACCAGCAGGACGGAGACCTGGAGAAGGCGAGGGGGCGCGGGCGGCGCGGCAAGGGGGCGGGGCGGTGGTGTTCAGCGGCCCGCGCCTGAGGACAGCCCCTGCAAGTTTTCGGCGGCGGAGGGCGCGCCACCCCTCGAGTTGGGCTTTTTGTCGGAGGACGGCCAGTCGCGACACCGGCTGCCCTGCCTGGTTTCGCCTTCTCTGGGCCTCCCAGAGGCTTCTCGTCGCCACGGCCGGAGCTGCTTCGAAGAACGGGTTCTGGAGCCTTGAGACGGGGGTCAATGCAAACGGGGGCCTGCCAGAGCGCCCGATCTCGCAGGATCCCGCACGGCCAGGGTCGCATTTGCCCAGGGCCACGGGTGCAGAGGGTCCCGCAGGATCTTGCGGGTTCCTTCGCAGTGACCCAGGCTTGGGCGCAGGATCTTGCAGGATCTTCCAAGGCCTGACTGGCCCGGGTCTGGATTGACCTGGGTCAGCAGATCCCCGACGGGTCAGGAGGCACCCTGGGCGGGGTCTGGGGATTGATTGCGAGCGGATGTGGGCCAGGCGGGAGAGCCGCCGTTGTCTCGATTGGCTTTCCTCCGAGTTTCCTGGTCTCGCATTTTGAACTTCGCCAGCTTGCCGCGCGGATGCAGCAAGCCGACGGCACTTGAACGTGCCGTTGTCAGACTTATTCGTCATCTGGCGTTCTAGCCCCCCGTCTCTCCTCTGCATGCCATGGCACTGCTAGATTGTCTTCGATGCCCCAGCAGCCCTATCAGTAGCCCGTGTATCGTTGCAAGCATCAGCCGATCTTTGGACACGGCGCCCGGGGGCATAATTCTGCCGAGAAAGGCAGTGGCTGCGGCCAGGCGTGCCCGATTAAAAAGAAGATCACAACGTCGACGAGGGCGCCCCTAGAGACCCCTAAGAGGGCCCCAAGAATGGAAGACGACCCAAAATAACTCACCAAGATGCCGCTAGGATAAAATCAGAGACCCCCGCTGGTGGCTCTGGTTCTGGAGGCTGTGCCTTGTTGGGCTCGGTCTGGGGCGATCCAAAGGCTCCAGGCCCAGACCCCCGACGTCGTGATGTTTCACCACATGGACCCCTGGAGGTCTGGACCACTTCCCCAGGACCGGCTTCTCATCCCTGGCCGTCTTCTTATCCCAGACGCTTCCAAAAAAATTATCCTGGCGAAGGACCCAACCATATGCAATTGTAAGTACCGCAGTTGTGAATATCTTCTTCGGTGGAGCCCCCTACGGGGCCACGAAACGTACGAGGGGTGTGCCGAAATGGATGTGCGGGACGCATGCGGGCACACCCACTGGGGCCTTCGGTGGAGCCCCCTAGGCGACCACAAAACGTGCGAGGGGTCACGAAACGCGTGAGGGGTGTGCCGAAATAGGTGTGCGGGACGCATGCGGGCACACCCACTGGGGCCTTCGGCGGAGCTTCTTTTGGGGCCACGAAACGTGTGAAGGGTATGCCGAAATGGGTGTGCGGGACGCATGCGGGCGGCAGCACTGTGACCTTCGGTGGAGCCCCTCTACGGGGCCACGAAACGTGCGAGGGGTGTGCCGAAATAGGTGTGCGGGACGCATGCGGGCACACCCACTGGGGCCTTCGGTGGAGCTCCCTATGGGACCACGAAACGTGTGAGGGGTCACGGAACGCGTGAGGGGTGTGCCGAAATGGATGTGCGGGGCGCATGCGGGCACACCCACTGGGGCCTTCGGTGGAGCTTCCCATGGGGCCACGAAACGTGTGAAGGGTATGTCGAAATGGGCGTGCGGGACGCATTCCCTATGGGGCCACGAAACGCGTGAGGGGTGTGCCGAAATGGGTGTGGGTGACGCATGCGGGCGGCAGCACTGGGGCCTTCGGCGGAGCTCCCTTTGGGGCCACGAAACGTGTGAGGGTGTGCCGAATTGGGTGTGCGTGACGCATGCGGGCGGCAGCACTGGGGCCTTCGGCGGAGCTCCCTATGGGGCCACGAAACGTGTGAGGGGTGTGACTGGGGCCACGAAACGTGTGAGGGGTGTGCCGGGGTTGGGTGTGGGTGACGCATGCGGGCGGCAGCACTGCGGGCCTTCGGCGGAGCTCCAATGGGGCCACGAAACGTGTGAGGGGTGTGCCGAATTGGGTGTGCGTGACGCATGCGGGCGGCAGCACTGGGGCCTTCGGCGGAGCTCCCTATGGGGCCACGAAACGTGTGAGGGGTGTGCCGAATTGGGTGTGGTGACGCATGCGGGCGGCAGCACTGGGGCCTTCGGCGGAGCTCCCTATGGGGCCACGAAACGTGTGAGGGGTGTGCCGAATTGGGTGTGCGTGACGCATGCGGGCGGCAGCACTGGGGCCTTCGGCGGAGCTCCCTATGGGGCCACGAAACGTGTGAGGGGTGTGCCGAATTGGGTGTGGGTGACGCATGCGGGCGGCAGCACACTGGGGCCGTCGGCGGAGCTTCTATTATGGGGCCACGAAACGTGTGAGGGGTGTGCCGAATTGTGTGTGGGTGACGCATGCAGGCGGCAGCACTGGGGCCTTCGGCGGAGCTCCTACGGGGCCACGAAACGTGTGAGGGGTGTGCCGAATTGGATGTGGGTGACGCATGCGGGCGGCAGCACTAGGGCCTTCGGTGGAGTCCCCTATGGAGCCACGAAACGTGTGAGGGGTGTGCCGAAATGGGTGGAGCTCCCTATGGAGCCACGAAACGTGTGAGGGGTGTGCCGAAATGGGTGTGGGTGACGCATGCGGGCGCGGGCACTGGGGCCTTCGGTGGAGCTCCCTATGGAGCCACGAAACGTGTGAGGGGTGTGCCGAAATGGGTGTGGGGGACGCATGCGGCGCGGGCACTGGGGCCTTCGGTGGAGCTCCCTATGGAGCCACGAAACGTGTGAGGGGTGTGCCGAAATGGGTGTGGGTGACGCATGCGGGCGCGGGCACTGGGGCCTTCGGTGGAGCTCCCTATGGAGCCACGAAACGTGTGAGGGGTGTGCCGAAATGGGTGTGGGTGACGCATGCGGGCGCGGGCACTGGGGCCTTCGGTGGAGCTCCCTATGGAGCCACGAAACGTGTGAGGGGTGTGCCGAAATGGGTGTGGGTGACGCATGCGGGCGCGGGCACTGGGGCCTTCGGTGGAGCTCCCTATGGAGCCACGAAACGGTGTACTGGGTGGGTGAGAGGAGGAGAGGAGGAGAGGAGAGGAGAGGAGAGGAGAGGAGAGGAGAGGAGAGGAGAGGAGAGGAGAGGAGAGGAGAGGAACGCGGGGCACCGTCTCTTCAAAACGAGGACCCAACACCACAGGATGGTTGGGAAAAATCGAAAAGACCCCAAGGAGCCCCAGAATGCCCATTGAAGCCCCCAAGAGGTCCAACGAGACCCCAATCTGAAGCCAGCTTCCACTGTTCCATGCGCTGTTGCTAACGACGCTCCCGAGATGTTTGTTCGCTCGATGTGAATGAGCAGATACGAGCTCTTCCGCGCGAGTCCAGCGCATGTGTCGGCCATCAGAGCGACCATGGCCTCGACTATCCGAATCTGGCATTCGAACAAGATGACAAGTCGTCGGCAGTCTTGGGGGCTGGCGCGGCAAGGTCGATGGTACCAGGAAGAGAACACTGAAACCGCTCTACCCGCGTGGCCATTGTGGCGCTTCTCTGAAGCCATCCAGTGTGCCCTGCGCTGTTGCCAAAGACGCTCCACAGGTGTTTGCCCGGTCGCTGTGATTGAGCAGATTTGAGCTCTCACGCGCGAGTCTTGCGCATGTGTCGGCCATGAGAGAATTCATGGCCCATGGCCGTTTCTATCCGAATCAGCCCCCCCCCCAAAAAAAAGAAGAGACCCAAAAAGGCCCCAACAAAGTCTTCAAGAGTCGCCTAAAGGCCCCCAGAGACCCCAAGAGGCCCCACAAGCTCCCCCGAAAGGTTCCACACAGTTCACTGCAGGGTAGCATGCTCGAGAGTTGAGCTTCCGAACCTCATCATCGGGAAGTCTGTTTGGCCTTGTTAGACCTTGTTAGAAGAGAGAAAACAAACCAAAAAAACAATTAGCCTGACGAAGGACCCAACCATGTGCAGGTGTGAATACCGCAGTTGACACTACCAATTTCGGTGGGGCTCCCTATAGGGCCACGAAGCGTGTGAAGGGGATGGGTGTGCGGGACGCATGCGGGCGGCAGCACTGGGGCCTTCGGTGGAGCTCCCTATGGGGCCACGAAACGTGGAGAAAGGTTCAGATCCCAACCGGACGCGTGAGATCCCAACCGGACGGTTCAGATCCCAACCGCCAAGGACACGTGGGACGCGTGAGATCCCAACCACTTTGGAGCTTCTGAAAAGTTCCAAGCCTCTGCAAGGTTCTGAGAGCCACTGCGAGCCTCTGAGAGATTCTGAGAGATTCTGAGAGGTTGTGAGAGGTTGTGAGAGATTCAGAGAGATTATGAGAGATTCTGAGAGATTCTCGGAGGTTCTGAGATTCTCGGGGGTTCTGAGAGATTCTCAGAGATTCTCAGAGGTTCTGAAAGATTCTGAGAGATTCTGAATAATTCTGAGAGATTCTGAGAGATTCTGAGAGATTCTGAAAGGTTCTGAGAGGTTCTGAGAGGTTCTGAGAGATTCTGAGAGGTTCTGAGAGGTTCTGAGAGGTTCTGAGAGGTTCTGAGAGCTTCTGAGAGGTTCTGAGAGATTCTGAGAGCTTCTGAGAGGTTCTGAGAGGTTCTGAGAGCTTCTGAAATTAGCCTGGCGAAGGACCCAACCATATGCAGTTGTGAATACCGCGATTGTGGATATCATCTTCGCTCGCGCTCCCTATGGGGCCACGAACCGTGTGAGGGGGCGTGCCGAAATGCGGGGCGGGGTCCCCAATACGAACAAAGACGATCGCTCTGAGTGCGCGAGACTGAGACCGGGTGAGCCTGAGCGCGAGTAAGTCTGATTGTGAATGTGTCTGCGTGCGAATCAGTCTACGTGCATCAATGTCGACGCCCATGTCGGCACGCCCCTCACGAGGATCGCGCCCGCTTCCTTCCCCTTTGTTTTCTGCCTCTTTGCCCGTGCACGCCGATGTCCATGGCTGCGGGCGCGGCGCCGCACTGAGTCCCCGCGACGCACGCTGGTCGCCCCGAAGGGGTCCCAGCGACGCGCGCGGGTCGTCCGCTGCGCGGAGCAGAGAGAGTGCTAGCTGGCTGGGTGATAGCGGGCAAGCGTGTGGCCGCTGGGCAGAGCGACGACGGGGGCGAGCGAGGCTCTGCGCAGAGCGCAGCGCGGAATTCCCGCGACGCGCGCTGGCAGGGAGTCCCCATCCTCGGGCCACGGGTACGACGAAGAGTACGACGACGAGTACGACGACGAGGAGGAGGAGGAGGAGGAGGAGGAGGAGGAGGAGGAGGACGACGACGACGACGACAACGGTAACGACGACGAGTCGTCCTCCTCGTCCTCGTCCTCGTCCTCGTCCTCCTCGTCCTCCTCGTCCTCCTCGTCCTCCTCGTCCTCCTCCTCCTCCTCCTCCTCCTCCTCCTCCTCCTCCTCCTCTTCGTCCTCATCCTTCATCCTGGTCCTTCGAGGGGTGTGCCAAAATGGGGCGGCGCCGCCATGGGAGTTCCGCCACTGTGACCTTAGGTAAGGCTCCCTATGGGGCCACGAAACGTGTGAGGGGTGAGCCAAACTGGGGCGGCGGCGCCATGCGAGTTCCGCCACGAGGACCTTCGGTGGAGCTCCCTATGGGGCCACGACGCGTGTGAGGGGTGTGCCAAAATGGGGCGGCGGCGCCATGCGAGTTCCGCCGCTGGGACCTTAGGTGGAGCTCCCTATGGGGCCACGAAACGTGTGAGGGGTGTGCCAAAATGGGGCGGCGGCGCCATGCGAGTTCCGCCAATGGGGCCTTAGGTGGAGTTCCCCATGGGGCCACGAAGCGTGTGAGGGGTGTGCCAAAATGGGGCGGCGGCGCCATGCGAATTCCGCCACTGGGACCTTAGGCGGAGCTCCCTATGGGGCCACGAAACGTGTGAGGGGTGTGCCGAAATGGGGCGGCGGCGCCATGCGAGTTCCGCCACTCGGGCCTTAGGTGGAGTTCCCGATGGGGCCACGAAACGTGTGAGGGGTATGCCAAAATGGAGCGGCGGCGCCATGCGAGTTCCGCCACTGGGACCTTAGGTGGAGCTCTCTATGGGGCCACGAAACGTGTGAGGGGTGTGCCGAAACAGAGACACGCGGAGAGCAAAAGCCCGGATGGGGGAGGAGGGAGGAGGGGGGAGGAGGAGGAGAGGAGAGGAGGACGCGGGGCACCGTCTCTTCAAAACGAAGACCCAACACCACAGGATGGTTGGGAAAAAAATCTCGATGGTCTTGTCCTTCTACGCACTCGAAAGCTCTCGACGAATGTCCACCCACCCCCGCGCTTCCTCCCCACCAGCCAACGTGCCACCCTCTGAACCACGCGAACGCAAAGCGAACGCTCCAACGAGTGCAGAACAAAATTGTAAAACAATCCGCGATGGTCTTGTCGTTCTGAGCCACCGACCTACGTGCGACCGTCCGATAGCGCATGCGCGAGGCGAACGCCCCAACGAGCCCCCACGTGTGCGAACGCAGCCATTGGGGCCTTCGGTGGAACTCCTTATGGGGCCACGAAGCGTGTGAACGCGTGCCGAAATGGGTGCGGTGGGCGCATGCGAACGCAGCCACTGGGGCCTTCGGTGGAGCTCCCTATGGGGCCACGAAGCGTGTGAGGGGTGTGCCGAACTGGGTGCGGTGGGCGCATGCGAACGCAGCCACGGGGGCCTTGGGTGAGGCTCCCTATGGGGCCACGAAACGTGCGAGGGGTGTGCCGAAATGGGTGCGGTGGGCGCATGTGAACGCAGCCATTTGGGGCCTTCGGTGGAGCTCGTTGTGGGGCCACGAAACGTGAGGGGTGTGCCGAAATGGGTGCGGTGGGCGCATGCCAACGCAGCCACAAGGGCCTTCGGTGAGACTCCTTATGGAGCCACACAGCGTGTGAGGGGTGTGCCGAAATCGGTGCGGTGGGCGCATGTGAACGCAGCCAGTGGGGCCTTCGGTGGAGTTCCCTGTGGGGCCACGACACGTGTGAGGAGTGCGCCGAAATGGGTGCGGTGTGCGCATGCGAACGCAGCCACAAAGGCCTTCGGTGGAGCTCCCTATGGGGCCACGAAGCGTGTGAGGGGTGTGCCGAATTTGGTGATGACGATGACGATGATGATGGTGGTGGTGATGATGACGTCGATGATGTCGATGATGATCATGCTGATGACGATGACGATGATGATGGTAATGATGATGATGATGATGATGATGATGATGTTGATGATGATGCTGATCATGATGATGATGATGATGATGATGATGATGATAATGATGATGATGATGATGATGCTGATGATGATGATGATGATGATGGGATGGGGGGGGAAGGGGGGAGGAGGGAGGAGGAAGGAACGCGGGGCGACGTCTTTTCAAAACGAGGACCCAACACCACAGGATGGTGGGGAAAACACGGATAGCTTCTGAGAGCTTCTGAGAGATTCTGAGAGGTTCTGACAGATTCCGAGAGATCCCGAGAGATTCTGACATGGTCTGAGAGATTCTGAGAGATTCTGGGAGATTCTGAGAGATTTTGAGAGATGCTAAGAGCTTCTGAGAGATTATGAGAGCTTCTGAGGGATTCTGAGAGCTTCTGAGAGATTCTGAGAGCTTCTGAGAGATGTTGACAGATTCTGACAGATTCTGAGAGATTCTGAGAGATTCTGAAAGATCCTGACAGAGTCTAGATTCTGAGAGATTCTGACAGCTTCTGAGATATTCTGAAAGATGCTGTGAGATTCTGCGAGCTTCTGAGAGATTCTGAGAGCCTCTGTGAGATTCTGAAAGCTTTTGAAAGAGTCTGAGAGTTTTTGTGAGATTCTGAGAGCTTCTGAGAGATTCTGAGAGCTGCTGAAAGATTCTGAGAGCTTTTCAAAGATTCTGAGAGCTTCTGAGGGATTCTGTGATGACGATGATGATGATGATGGTGGTGATGATGATAGTGATGATGATGATGGTGATGGTGATGATGATGAGGATGCATGTGATGATGATGATGGTGATGATGATGATGATGATGAAGGTGATGACGATGACGACGGCGACGACGTTGGTAATAGTACTGACGTTGATGACCATGATGGTGACGATGATGATGATGATGATGATGATGATGATGGTGATGGTGATGATGATGATGATGATGATTGTTATAACGACGATTGCCACACCGGCGGCGAACCCGATCATCATGACCATGACGTTGGTGATGCCGCCGCTGCTGCTGATGATCATGATGATAAGGGCGATGATGGTGACGAGGACGAGGATTATAAAGACGAGTGCCACAATGAGGCGAATGTGCGCATGACGTTGATGACGCCGCTGCTGCTGATGATAATGATGACAGTGAGGCCGCTTGGGGCTCCCTTGGGGCCGTCCTCGGCTCCTTTGGGCTCGTCCTATTCCAGGACGAGGAGGAGGAGGAGCGTGGGACGATTGGGATAGTAAGGAGCCTGAGGAGGAGCACCAGGGGGAGAGGTGGATGCTTCATGGTGACGAGGGTGATGATGATGACGATGAGGGGGGGAAAGGAGGAGTAGGAGGAGGAGGACGAGGAGGAGGAGGAGGAGAGGACGGGGAGGAGGAGGAGGAGGAGGAGGAGGAGGCGGAGGAGGAGGAGGAGGGGGGGGAGGAGGAGCAGGATTGATGCGGGCAAGGGGGACGAGCGGGATCAGGAATCCGAGGAGGAACTTTTCTGCGGAGCCCGCTGGCGATC